GTCTCAAAGATGGCGGCACGCAGCTGAAGCTCATCATCGACTACGAAAATGGCGGGCAGGCTCTCTTCAAGCCTATGAGGTAAGGTCTTCTTTGTTTCGATGATGGTATTCGGCTCGAGCCATAGACGTGTTTTAGACTTTCTTTTTCTTTTTCATGCGTTAGCTGTTCACGTGCACCCAAACTGTATATATTCAGCCACAGCTCGGCAATCTCGCTCATTAGTCGACTCACTCCTACTCAGATCGAGCCGTAAGCTTTGGTAGTGAGCAAATGCCTAATTAAGGGTGACTTTATTTTTGGCCCTGCGGGATTTCGACAGGGTCGTTCCGTAGAAGTGGCGCGGTCTCTTAGAGCTCCGAGCTTGAGCGTATGCACGAAGGTACACTTGCTGGCATTGTATCCAAGAAAGTGGAGTTTCGCTTTAAAAAAAAGAACATACTAAATTAATTTGCGCTCACTCGTTCTTGCAACAAACTCTTCCTTTGATTACTCCCATCAAAAAGAGAGAAATAATGTGTGAGTTTAACAATATCTTCTCGAACCCTTTGAGAAGCAGGGGAATTTCGCTCTTGTATATCCGAATGCCAGTACCATAAATAAGTCTAACCTCACAGAACTTCACGTTTTAAGGGGTGAAGCTGTTTACGCAGGATGTAAAAAAACACTGGTGTGTATAAGTAAATACAACAAAAAAAATCCGTCATCATCGTGAACGGGTATCTACTCGCCACGCTGTTCTATAGTGGCTAAGGCACTCGGCTGCTGACCTGTATGTCGTGGGGTTGAATCACGGCCGCGGTAGCCGAATTTCCGATGGATGCGAAAATGCTCCAGGCCTGCGTGCATAGATGTATAGGGGACACATTAAAGAACCCCAGGTGGTCGAAATTTCTGGAGCCCTCTACCTACGGCGTCTTTCATAATCGTATCCTTAACATTCATTATTCCTATTACTATTTGCCGAGACTTTGAGAGTTCCTAAGGAAACTTTTAACACAAAGGCACTATGGTCGAGGTGTGCCTAATAATTTCCCGTGTTAAGCTGGTATTGTGAGGAAAGCGCTGTTCCTCCTTCGCTACGCGCCATGGAGTGATGTCTGGCCACTTGTAAGACAGCGGTTTCTAACTTTACTTTCGAGTTGCGACTTTCCACGGAATTATTTCTTTCAAGTACTCCATCGTTTCGCCGGCTTTTTTTTTTTTGGGGGGGGGGGAGGCATTTTTTGTTCGAAATGCCCTCTTGCGAGGCCTCGTGATGCCAAGCACCTGAAAAAGGGGTGCCAAAAGTCGTGCGTGTGGGCGGCAGTTTAGACTTGCTTGATGACAGGAAACCGCCGAGTTTCGACCAGAACAACAACGACAAAAAATACGGCTTTGAGACTTCTTGCGTCACGTTTCCTTTTTTGAGATCCAGACGTCAAAAAATGAGATAAAAAAAGAAGAAGAAAGGAGTTGCTGTAAACACTTCTAGAGACGGCGTGCGCCTAGTAGTTTTTTTTTTTTCTTCTTCTTTTCTGGTCGTAAACTTCGGAAACTTGCCTTTATGTACTTGATGCACGTTTCTTTCCTTTTTTCTTCTGCCGAAAAAAAGTCTTTGCGTAGTATTGAGGAGCCGCCCTCACGAAAGACTTCTTGGCACATTCCCGCAACTCCGACTGAAATTGATTTTTTTTTTTTAAACTTGGTCTTTCTTCGGACCGTAACTCCCATACGACGTGTCTTGCGCCTTTTAACAGAGGATTGAAGAGACTAAATGTCTTCGAATAGGGAGGTGTCGCCGAAGCTGACGTTTATGGTCATCGAGAAACACAGGAGAAATGGCGACACCATCGCCCGTCTCATTGATAAAACGGCCAACGTGATGCGACTTTTCACACGAGTCGCGTCCCGGAGGGCAGGCATGAGAGAGGAGAGCCTGATCAGGCTCATACAATTCTTCATCATCAGTCACGTCGCGTATGTTGCATCCTACCATAGATGGCTGCAACACGAACGCAACAAAATCAACGCCATCATCAGAAGAGCGTACAAGGCGGCACTGGGCCTGTTCGAGTCCATGAGCGCGAGCCACTTCTTACAACTCGGGATACACAACACGCTCGAGGAAATAGCCGAAGCGATACAAACCGCTCAACTGGAGCGGCTGTCCAAGACCAAAACCGATACTGGAGCATCTGGGAATAGGATGCCTGACCGAAGCACAGATTAAGCTCCCCATCCAGAGCGACGACACAGAACGACGACACAGAGACAAGAAGGACACGAAGGACACGAGCGCTTCTAAGCCAGACTAGAACCGACCCCATTCCGAAGAACGTGAATCCCGAGTAGAACGAGGGAAGAAGGGCGGCGAGGGCAAGGGCTATCATCGACCTGCACGCCAACGACGCGAACGCGAGGTACGCGGACCTGGCGCAATACCAACAGAACGCATTCGCAGCGGTCGTCATCGAGGCGTCAACCAGCGCAACAACGATGGCAGCGAGCGTGAAAAATTCCAGAGCTGAACAAGCGCAGGAGGTGGCCATCGCCTTGGCCATTGCCGCCACAGCCTGCCACATGGTGCTGAGTGACTCTAGACAGGCGGTGCGAAACTTCGCCAAAGGCCAAATCTGTAGATAGGCCGAGCGTATATTGCGTGCGGCTAAACTTCAAGACAGAAAAATGAGAATTAAGTGGTTCCCGGTGCACGTGGGCGACGCGTCGGAACACAATGACAACCACAACTAGACGGCTCACGCAGCGGCGCGAGCGCTGGCCAACGGCGCCCTGGCGACAGACCGTCCAACCTGGTTCGAAGCCAAGGACCACATGACGGACTAACACGACATCACGAAAACCTTCCGCATGGCTTGCAGGACTTTCCCATTCCCGCACCAGCGGCTGGGTCGAGCGGAGGCGGTACTACTGAGACAGCTCCAGACCGGATCACTACCGAGTCTGGCACTGATGCAACGCATGTACCCCGAGACATACCCGGCTGACAAGTGCGAGGTCTTCCGGAGGGAGATGGCGGATCACACGCACATCTTGTGGGATTGCATCAATTCAGAAGAAGCAAGGTCAAGAACAATTCCCGTCGCGGCTCGATGCGGCCGCGAAGAGCTACGACCAGGAAGAGCAGCTCTGTGCCGTCCAGCAGGTCCTCGGGGCGCTCGAAAGACAAGGACTCAACGAGCGGGCAACGGCGAGCGGAGACTTTCGCCGAGTAACGGCAACACCGAGGGCGACGTAGGCCCCCGTCCGGACTCGCAAGTGCCCAACTGCAGGCACAAATAAAGTTTATCCAATCCCATCTAATCTACAAGTGGTTGAAGGCTTGTTGGCTTGTTGAAGCCAACATTTGCTGCCTTGAACAAGGCAAAAGCACTAACCGAAACGTCGGGGTCAGCTACACCTCCGATCTTCTGAATTCGGCAGGGGCGTGTATATAAATTTTTCCTGAAAAAGATTGTGGGCGGTGGTGGTGGGGGGCGTGGTTTTGGGTTTACAACTTTCAAGTTACATTGCTCGAAATGTCAATGTTCGTCGCCGCAGGGTTTTTTCCAGTAGTGTGCAGCACGTTTAGAACAAAATGCAGCCGGCAAGGTGTGTTAGGCTCGTATACGTAGAACTTTTGTTGCGGATGAAAGGGGGGGGGGGGGGCTTCTTTAATCTGAAGGGGGTGGCTGGGCAGGCAGGTGGTCATTTTGCGCTTAGTATGCCACAGCGAAACTATACTACGGGGGGGGGGGGGGGGGGGGGGGGGGGTTCGATGGGCCACAGCGATGTGCCACACCTGGGAACAAAAAGTTATACAAACTTATAGAAACCAGAAACGCACATGCTACCCATCGAACTGAGAAAGATGTATACAAACAAAAAAAATAATACTACACACATACCAATAAAGCGTATATAAAATAGAAATACTAGAAACTGTACGAACATTTTCACAATGAATTCCTAATTTATTTAGTGTATTCGGCAAGCAATAACACAATGAGTGAGTGAGTGAGCAAACTTTGTTTAACCAGCGGGTTGAGGCATGGGCCCTAAGCAGCGCCAGGGGCGGTGGAGAGACCCATTCTCTCAGCCGCCTCCCGTGCTCGCTGGATGGCCCATATATTGATCCGCCCGATCTGAGCTGATCAGTGCGGCTCTCCACCGCTCCCCAAGCTGTCCTGGGGAGGCTGCATTGGCGTCCTGTATCTGTGTGCATTCCCATGAAATATGCTCTAAGGTGGCGTGTCTCATGCTACATAGTTTACACGAGTCATCTGGGTATAGTTCGGGGTAGATGCGATTTAGGTGCTTCCAATAACGCAATGTCTGAAAACAATAATTTGTGCACGGTCTCGGCACATGCGAATGTTCAGAGTGTCGGTTAAGACGCGTCGAAGGATTTAAGTGCAGGTCAGCTAAACTGCGTATATAGCCGCTATATCTTTCATGGTATCGAATCTAAAAGAGATTGCCAAAGAATATTCGTAGAGCTGGTTTAGTTTGATTATTTGTAGTCCTGCGTGCATTTCGTCTCCATCGATGAATGCGATCGCTGCGGCGGCCGAGTGCGATGTAAAAGTTATAGCCGGTATGGTCTCTTGCATCGTGTCAACCGAAGCCACATCGCCGTTCGTTCCCTTCCAGTTATTTCAATTACCACGCTTCTCAGCACGACGCAGACTTCCCTCTGACAGGTGCGCCGCAGTTTCGACAGCGTATATAATTGACGCGCCACCTTCGACGCTTTGTCTTTCAGACTCGGTTCGCAGTCCCGTGCTTTCGAAAAGTCGTGACCCCGCGAGTGCGCATGGCATTCGAACACACTTCTATGCAGTCTTCCGTGTGTAAATCAGCTCAACAGACGGTTCCACGATGCAAATGAGTACCGCATGACGAGGTGTGGTCGTCGTTGTTTTAGTCGTCGTCGCTGGTTGAAAGTTGAAAGTTGAAATTTATTTCACCACAACGATACACCGTGATTTACACAAACAGGAAACAATTGTGGCATGAAAAGTAGGAAAAAAAGCTGCGCTATAGCAGCTTGACTAGCCCCACCTCCCATTTGTACAAGGCAACAGAAACAATGGCACACCAAACTCCATACAGTGCTCACGTATGATTGAAAGAAAAAAGAAAAGAAAATAACATTCTAGTGGTTGTTTATGATGTACAGAATAGATGCACACTTGGGTGTTTACAAACAAACAATTATTGGGAAAAAAGGCAACCAAAATAAGACGCTATAACAGAAAGGAGTACACTTAAAATTTCATGCATTTACAAGTACTGGGTGTAATTTTTCTGGGTTTATAGCTCCTTATACAAACAGGTTTAATATGTCACTACTTGAAAGGAGACGCAATTGCTGTTCTGTGAGCTTGAACTTATTTAGTATATGGGGAACAGAGTGCTTTAGCATTTGGAGTCCGTAATTTGTTCGCGGTCGGGAGATGTGCCCGACCGCGTGTGGTTGTTGTCGTAAACCTCGTTATTGTTCTTGTTACTGCCGACACCGTTGTTGAAGCCCGCATCGTTCTTGTACAGTTCAACCACAAAAGCTTACGGACTGCGTGGCCAAGAGCCTCGTCGTGACATTTCTGCTACGACAGGGGCGTAGCCAGGAGGTGGCACGCCGGGCACGTGCCCCCCCCCCCCCTTCCCTACTTTCGAAATTTTTTTTTCGCCATAGCATAAATAGCGAAGTTTGCCAGTTTAAGGTTAAGGGGGTGCCCCTCCCGAAATGAAGGTGGCGCCCCCACCGAAAAAAACAATTCTGACTACGCGCCTGGTCAGTGGCGATCGACAGCACCACTATGCCGAATTAGGACGCATCCCTCCCTTAATCGACGGCCTGTCGTCTCACTCATTTCATTTTCATTTTATTATACTGTCAGCCCTACTTGGGCTAATACAGGGGTAGAAAAAAAACCAATATGCATACAGAAAAATAGGTACTCCCTATACAACTTCTATTATACATGACAATGAATGACAAGAAATAGCCAAAGCACTCTGGTCTTGAGGACATAGAATAAGCAAAATATAAACTATACGTCTTTATACACGACATCCTTTAGGCCCTTCAAGAAAGAAGGTACACATTCTGATAAGACATATAGATAAGACTCAGCTCATATATTTCGCATGCACCTTCCACTTTTCAGCGATACGCGCTCTTCGACAGCCGTGGCTATGTGCTTCTGTCTCAAGAGAAGTCTATCGTCATACCTGATACGAGTTACAAACTTTTCCCACGAAGTTATACCAGCGCCTCCTCTATTTATTCGACGGGAGGCGTTGGTGATACCTACCGTACGGCGCGTCGTTCGAAGCGCGCCTTGGTAGCTTTCATTCTGATGTCAAAGTAAAAGTGTGCCACTCATACATCAGATAAGCGCTCATCTGAAAACAACGAACTAAAGCGATGTTCTGCGTGGCCGTATAAAATTGGTGTGCCAATGAATAACAAGAAGACCCGTTTCCGGCCTGACGCTGTGGTCTTCGGTAGGTGGCGCGGACAAGTAGTTTGGCGCGCGCTTACGTGGTCCGTATATAGTTTTTTGCGGGTGACCGAACCACTTATTGTCAGGCGTCTCGTTAGTCATCGTGACCATTGTTTTCTTCGTTTTGTCGTTGTCGTCCTCTTGTCGGCGTCATTGATGCGGTTGACTCGCTCGTTATCTTCATCTCCTTTACTTGTTTGCCATTTCGTTCTTTACTCTCTTGACTCTTTTTGTCATCATACCAGAGTCCGTCTCTGTCAAACGACCTTCAAAGGTCCCTTTACGTACTTAATTATTTCAGTGACGCACAGTCAACAACTAACTATAGCAATGTTCTGCGTTTCGATCTATCCCCGCCGCGGTGGTCTAGTCGCTATAAGGTACTCGGCTGCTGACCCGCAGGTCGCGGCATCGAATCCAGGCGGCTGCATTTTAGAGGGTGGCGAACGTGTTGTAGGCCCGTGTTCTCAGATTTGGGTGCACGTTAAAGAAACCCAGGTGGTCGAAATTTCCGGAGTCCTCCACTACGGCGTCTTTCATAAACACATAGTGGTTTTGGGACGTTAAACTCCGCGTATCAACCGATCGTGTCTGTCTGTCTGTATGTCTGTCTGTCTGTCTGTCTGTCTGTCTGTCTGTCTGTCTGTATCTATCTATCCTTCTATCTATCTATCTATCTATCTATCTATCTATCTATCTATCTATCTATCTATCTATGTTGTTTTTTGTGTGCATTTGTTTGTGTGTGTCTGTGGGGGGGGAGGGGGAGAGGTGTTCGTTATTCGATACAGGACTCGCACTGCTTGGTGCCTACTCCTGCACCTCTTCACTGAATAAGATTCTCGGCGTCGCTTTTCTGTAATCTGCATACCACGCCGAGAAGTGAAGAAAGAAAGAAAGAAAGAAAGAAAGAAAGAGAGAAAAAGAAAGAAAGAGAGAAAGGAAGAAAGAAAGAAAGAAAAAGAAAGAAAGAGAGAAAGGAAGAAAGAAAGAAAAAAGAGAGAAAGAAAGAAAGAAAAAAGGAAAGAAAGAAAGAAAGAAAGAAAGAAAGAAAGAAAGAAAGAAAGAAAGAAAGAAAGAAAGAAAGAAAGAAAGAAAGAAAGAAAGAAAGAAAGAAAGAAAGAAAGAAAGAAAGAAAGGTGGAAGGCTGTTCGGGCCTTTGTCTTGACCAGACCACTGACGAGCGAACGCGCGCAACGGTTTCATCATTATGCGCGTCGGATCCTTGTGCGAGCGATTAAACACATGCACAAGGCAACCGGTCTTGCGGTCGCGATGAATGGCTTCATTGTTTCAATCTTCCTCAAACCTTGGCTTTCGGCTGCGGTCAGGGTGCACCGCGTGAATTGGCTCTACACTGCAAGCGGGTAAAGACCTCGCTCGAAACGACGTCTGAAGTAAAGCGGCGCCTTAAATGTCTTCGCATCTTATTAAGCGGGGAGACTTAGATGCCTCGTTAAACGCGAGAATTGACCGCTGGCGTCGTCAACCGAAGTGACGCGAAAAATCATTACTACGTGATGATGTTGCCATATGGCGTCACATATTGCCCGAATCGATGTCGTAATCGTGCCTATTTTTTTTTTAGCGCCAAAACTTCCGACGAACGTAAAGAATTACCCCCGTATTCTAGAACGCCCCTTCACTCACGCTCCACCTTCACTTGAGAAAGCCGATGTAAGCGCCATCTCGAGGCATGGCAGGTCACTGCATATCAGCGATAATTTCCTGCTATTCTTGTAGCCCAGCGCCATTTTCAGCTGAGCAGCGGCGCAGTGCTCAACTCTGTCAAGCGATGGGTGAAAGTCGAGTCGAGGAGCGTTTGTGAATGCGGGCATTAGTCCTCACCAAAGAAGACATGGTCGTTTGGTCGAGAGAATGCCGATCACAGAGGACATACGCAGAAGGATGCTCTAGCCTACATACTCTTTCTGCGGAGCGAACATCGCGCGTTTCCGGCCGAGGTCGTCTGCGCGCGCGCTTATCTAGTGAGCGAACATCAGCGCGCGGCTCTTATCCCCCCCCCCACCTCCAGAAGGCGGGAGCTTCTACGGATTGCCCTATCAACACGAAAAATGGTGCCAAAAGTGTATCTGGAGGCGGCCGTTCACATATAGATGTGCTCTACACGTACAAACTGTCACCAGCAGCGACAGACGACGTATAGCCCTTAGTACCAGCATGCACTGACCACAGCAGGCGCGTCTCATCAACGCCGTGACTACACACGATCGAGCCTTGTTGTGGTAATCTACTGTGGCCGCGCCGCAGGAGTCTTGGTTACTTAGCAAGTGCATGTTTACTACAGTTAATATTGCTCCTAAAAATTTTGCTCGTAAGCATTCGAATATATGTTGCTATCGCATTCATTGCTTCGCCCTTTTGGAGAAACTGTGACTTCATTTTTTGCTGTTCTTTGGTAAAACGGCGTGTGCAGTCACTTACCCTGCGAACACGCGTACGCAGCCCATAGAACGCACTTCACCCGTGAAATATGACGGCGCCACAGCTGCTGTCGTGGCTTTGAATAGGCAAGTAACCCTGCGCGACGGGATCGTAAATCACGTGGTTTCCGAGTCGTGATCCTGTCCTGGAGGTCGTACGTCGTCTGACGTATGTATACTTGCCGTTTCATTTTCCACTCCTCGCCGCGCACTCGAGGTGAGCTACGTAGCAATATTTTCCACGTAGAGGGTGAGCAGCTCTTATCTAAACGTTGCCCGGTATAGTATAGAAGGCTGATGATGGCTGACGTCGATGTTTCGCCAGTGCATTTTCGGGGAGTCACGCATACTCACCGCAGCGATGGGCCGCGGTCACGTGGTAGTCGAGCGCTCCTATCGGTCGGCTCGCTTTGATGGGGAAACGTCTGCTGTGGGCCCGATTTTGAGGAAAAGAAAGTTGGGAGACTTAGGATGGGGCATTTCGCGTTTTGGTTGAAGCTTACTGCGTGAACCCAACACGTGACCGGTTAAACTTGTGTTCTTGAACTTTCTCTGGAGGCGGCCGGAGCTACACGGAACAAGTGGGACTGAAATGGCTTACGTTCATGATAAATATTGGTATGAGGCAGCAAGCCTGAAAGTCTCGGGGATCTCACTTTTTTGTGAGATCTCTACGCGGAATGTCCCCTCCTGGACCACCATGCACTGCTGGCTTCTCAGGGTGTCTAATGAAGGTCGGCTGCGTAACGCGATGCTTTCTCCTGCATCTTCCTTCCTCCATGATTATCCTACGCTACCGTAAAGGAATGAAATGAACTACGAGGTAGCATCACGTGACAATATTTAAGGCCTCTAATCACAAAAGTGCTAAGAAACAGGCCCGGAAATCACGTGACAGGCGAGCTTTGCTGCTATTGGTGGGGAATCGCTATACATGCGTCTGCTGCAGGCTGCGGCCGTTGCAAGCGGTTGAGAAGAAAAAAAAAAAGGGGGGGGGGGAGCTAGAACAGTGTTACTACGGGACAACATTAAATCCCAGCAAAAAAGTAATAATAATTGTAAAGAGGGGCATGCTGGGAATACTATCGGAAGCAAGGAGCGCGAAAAGGAATCAGCTCCCGGGGAGGCTCTATTCGTTTTTGCTGTTCCTGAGATTCTCGGTGCGACTAATCTCGATGGATGAGGCGGGAATCACACAGTTCCCTCATTAAGAAACCAATTATATTAATGAAGGAATATGTTCGAATATGAGTCGCATAGTTTCAACTCATTTATTATATAAAATAATGAAGTTCAGAAAAGAGAGGATGACTTGAGAACGCTCGGCGTAAGCGTTCGTCAATTATTTTCTTTTAGCGTGAGCCCAGAAAAAAAATAAAATAAAGGGAAACAGGACAAGCTGCGAAATATGCCATAAGCACGATATGGTAAACGGCTTCAGAGCTGGCTGGATTGTAGACACTGAATGCATTCTCTCATAAACTTTGTTTTGACCTGTGTTACTTCTTAAGCTCGCATTCCACCATTTCGCGTTAACAAAAAGTATGTTCATCACGAATCTCCGTAATCAGTATCGTCATCATAATCTGTGCGCATCAAAGAACACCAGATGGTCAAAATTTCCGGAGTCCTGCACTACGGCGTCTCTCAAAAGCATATCTTGCATGGTATTGGGACGTAAAAAACTTTATATACATTTTTTTTCTTCCATGGCTACTTGCGTCCGGTATGCGGGTATGTATGTGCCACTGGAGATTGGCACTTAGTATCTACCCAGAACCACGAGAACAAGGAAGCGTCATTTTGACGCGTAAGCGTTAGGAAAAACTTGACATCGGCAGCGTTGGCCCCACGTATGTAAAGAATAAACTTTAGCGCCCAGCAGGGAAGGAACCCAACATTCTGCGTGGCAATCAAGAACTCTACCACAGAGCCTCGCCAGGTCTCGGAACTACTCTTCAAACAGGATCTAATGTCTGTGAAATGCCACTTGTGGTTGCACTGCTGGCTACTTAATTTTATAAACATCACAGATGTATTCCTATGATACAGCCGTCACCTCTGGTTAACGTCAATTGTAGTTAGATGCCATCCGTTGAAGCTCATTTATGTAGCTGTGCCCAGGGTTACCATGCTCGCGAGCACCAGCGCTTCATATCGGCTTATCTCTTCTGGTGTTGATAATACTCGTGTTCCTGTTGGCATCGTTGCGAAAGTGCAAACAACTGGTTTGCATTTACTGACTTGTTATATGAACATCTGCAACTGTTCAACATACGTATGTGCGTGCAACATTTTTACTTATACTTAGCTTCATTTGACAACATTTTTCGCTAAAAATGTTTCAACACGGTCACCTTCTCTCCGCTTGCTTCGCATAACGTTAATTTCCAAGGTATACGTGGGATATGCCGAATTTTTC